TGGGCGTTGAAGCCCAGGTTGTGTGAGCGTAACGGAGGGTATAAGCAGGCCCATTAGGCACAAGTCCTTTTCATTAACCCGCGCTGACAGGTTGACCTTCAAATGATATTTCTCCGGCGCCTATCCACAAAAATCCGTTTTCTTGCGGGTTTACGTTCTTCTGTGAACTCCTCAGCGATGGCCTCGGGACAGGCTGCGTCGCGTCCCTGGGACACGGGCTGCTTCGGCGTCCCCGAATCCGTCCGAGAGCGATACCCCTTTTCTGCTACGTTTGGTCCCGGGTCAATGACATCACGCACTCTATAAATTCAAACGCGTCTCGACTTTTCAAGCCGTGCACCGGGCGGTTGAGCGATGTGGTAGGCAGCCGGGCGGGAGGAGGACGGGGAGGCAGCCTGCAGCCCCCGGCCCCGCACCCCCGGGACTTTCGGAGCTGCCGGGGAGGGAAGCCGTCGAGGGGACCGCCCGGCCAGGGCTGAGCCTCAGCTGCGAGGGGTGCCCGTGGGCTCCTTTTGCGGTCGGGCTGTTTGCTTTAATGGAAACTAGAAGGCAGGAGGGAGGACGCGGGCGCTGCCGGGCTCCGGTAGCGGGCACCGCAGCTCCGGCGCGGCGCCCGCCGCCGCCTGCCCTGCCCTGCGCCGGCCGGCTTGGCGACCCCCAGAATCGCCCCGCCGGTATCGGAGGCTCCTGGAAAAGAAGGGGAGCAAACGAGTGAGACGCTCGCTGCTCAGGCACCGGCCAGGCGCTCTCATGCCCCTGGCCTGCTCATTAAAAGGCCCGGCCCGGAGTGCCTGCAGCTCTCGCAGCCAGCCAGCCCGACGGTCCCCAGCAGATGTGCGTTTCCGACCACCCAGCGTCGGCACCTCTTCCCCGTTTCCATGCGGTTTCCACCGGCTCGGAGAAATTAGCTTAATTTGCAGTTTAGCCTAATTCACGCGAGCCCGGGCTGGGGACGGGAAGGGGGTGGGAGCACAGCTCTATTGTTTTGTTATCCTCCATCCCACCCTACCCTTGGCCCAGAGGACAGAAGGGACCCGGCGATAAGCGGCCCGGTGGCGGCCGAGCGCCGGGCCAGGGCAGCCGGGTGGCCCCGGCGGCGCAACCGGGGCC